ACACCGGGGAGGTCGATGTGGCGTCTGTTCCCTTCATTTACACTTTGAAAGTGTTATTGTCTAAGATCTAAATAATATATAATATATCATGAATAATAATAATAATTGTATATATATATATATATATGTTTACTGGTCCTATTTGACTTGATTGGACTTTACATTCTAATTTCTTTAAATGTTCTGTACTCTTGTAAACATTCTCGAAACGCAGTTTCTAAATTCATTGTCTTCCTGAAGTTATAGAGAGTCGTCATTCATAGTAACATTATAAGTAAGGTTAAAAAAACACAGTCCATCAAGTTTAACTTATTCTAACACAATTAATCAAGAACAAGACAAATAAAATACCAATCAAGACATTTGACAAATTTCTTTTACTAGGAAAAAAATCCTTCTTGGCCCATTAATGGCAGAAAGATGGATATCCTTGGTCAGTGAATCTCCAGATCAATACACTAATTATAGTTAGAGATCCAATTCCTATTTCAGTTTTCATAAACAGTTACCAATTGCTACCAGCTCTGGAAGAGAGAACTAGCATTTGGTGAAACATGTTTTCTCTTTACAGGCTTAGGGATTTTAGGCCTAATATTTTTGTCAAAAAAAGACTTGTAGTACATCTCATTTCATACATGTTTGTATGTACCCTGAAAGTACAGAAAAATGCCTGTATTTGCGAGAGAAACAAACTCAGATCCTAACTTCTTGTTGTAGGCTAAAAGCACACAGCATTTTTGAGGACAGAATAGTATGGGTCCTGCCCAGTTGTCTATTGCTAAACTGCTGTTAACTAGGTTACATGTACATGTAAATACCTTTCAATCACCGTAGGAGTAGTTACATGTACACAGCTAGATCTGAGAGTTCTTACAAAAAAAAAGTAGTTCCATCTGCAATATACATTTATTGATAGAGTTACATAATATATACAAAATACACACTAAACATTATTCACAGTACAATGTAGAGTGTAAGTCAACGGCTTCTATGATATGTACAAATTACACACACAACTATATTTGCAATACAATGCACAATACAAGTATGAAGTTAGTTTACCTCTCAACTTAAAGTCTGGTCATGCTGACTGCTGTGTGTCCAAAAACAAAAAAAAACCAAAAAAGCTTGGTAACAGTTCCTTATATTCCCCCCTCCTGTCTGTATGGTGGCTAATATAATGCCCTCTAATTGGTCACTGTACCTAGAAAATGTATAGCCATAGCAAATGTCACGTGTAGCCTGACTGGAGGATTCAAAGAAGGCAGCTGTTTTCAGATGTGATAAGAAACAAAAGAAAAAAACAGGGGCGGACTGACAACTCATAGGGCCCCCGGGCAATAGGGGATCATGGGGCCCCTGTGTCCTCACCCACACCCAAAAAAGCCTATGAAAAAGCCAATGAAAGGCACCAGGGCCATCTCATGGGGCCCCCTACTGACCCCAGGCCCTAGGGCAGTGCCCAAGTGCTCGAATGGTCAGTCCACCCCTGGAAAAAACAATGGCCAGACATTTTAAGTAGAAAAAATGTTTACAATAACACCAACTGGGAAGCTAGCAGTCCTATAATGTTGAAATGCACTCAATGATTGCAATATATTCCCATCTAACTACAATATATTTATAATTACACATAATAATATTTACATCTGTTAATGGAGGTTTCACATCAACTCATTATCTAACCAGGGGCGGACTGACCATTTGGAAACTCGGGCATTGCACGAGGGCCCAGGGTCAGTAGGGGGCCCCATGAGATGCCCCTGGTACCTTTTTCATAGGCTTTTTTGAGTTTGGGCAAGGACACAGGGGCCCCATGATCCCCCATTGCCTGGGGGCCCCATGAGTTGTTAGTCCGCCCCTGTATCTAACACTGCGAAATCCCTCCCAATGTCATTATTTCCACAACATAATGACTAATTGTTCTGTAGTCTAGAATAAGAACTAGGAAATCTAATTAATTACTCTTAACTTTTTTTTTCTTTTTATGGTTTAAACTGGATGGACTTTTGTATTTTTTCAGCCAGACTAACTATATAAGAATATGTAATTCCCCTTGAAAAAAATACAGAAAGTGTGCAGAGGACACAGGAAAGCTCTGAGGTTTTTTTTAACAGATTAACATGTATTTTTGCTCTTATTGGACAACTATTACAAAATACTGTATAGTTAACGCACCAAAAGAGAGCATGTAAGTGACTGTAAGATACACTTTAACTGCTTAAGGACCACCCTATAGCAGATATATTACCCACTGGCTCCCAGTGATTACCGGCGATCACCGACAGGGAGAAGGGCTGCTTTGTTTACCAACAGTCCTCCCTGTCAGTTTGGGCAGAATGCTCTTTTGCCATCCAGAGCAGTGTGCTTACAATGAAGAACACACCCCCTGTCCCCTAGTAAAACACTCCCCATCACACAGTTAACCCTTTGATTGCCCCCACATTAACCCTTCCTGCCCAGTGCCATTAGTACAGTCTCAGTGCTTTTTTTTTAGCACTGATCACTGTATTGGTGTCACTGGGGATGTCAGTGACACCAAGTCAGTTCCCCCCAGTGTCAGAAATGTGATTCTTTATAATTTTTTTACTGGACATGTTTAATAGCGAAAAGTCCAAAATATTGTTTTTTTCTCAAAATTGTCGGTGTTTTTTTATATAGCGCAAAAATTAAAAAAACACACAGGCGATCAAATACCACCAAAAGAAAGCTCAATTTGTGGGGAAAAAAGGACTTCAATTTTCATTTGGTTGCAGCATTGCATGACTGTGAAATTGTCAATTAAAGTAACACAGCTCTGTAATGCAAACCACTTTTTTAACCGCTTCCTGACCACCCTATAGCAGAAATACTGCTACAGGGCAGAACAGGTGCGCAAAATCACGTATGTATGTGATTCTCGCTCCTGTGATTTTCATGCCTCTCCCAGATAGTGTCAGATTGCCCGCAAGTACACCAGTAATCACATTTAACCCCTTGATTGCCAGGAATACGCTCATACACAATAAAACTCCATTGCTAGTATAGTGTCTGAATGGATCAATATCTTTGATCAGATGAGCACTATACCAGCGTTCACATTAGCATAGTATCCCCAAAAACACAGCGTTAGGAGGATCAGCCTTGGTACCTGCGTTTAGTTCCTACTTTTAATCTCCCTTCTCCTCCAGCAATTGCAGTGTCAGTAGGTCACTGTCACTTGATACATTGCACACAAAACCGCAGTGTACGCAGAATGAGGCCTGATCTCTGCTAGCACTTACCGGTGAATTTTGATGACTCTCATATGCAGCAGAGTGCCAGTACTAGTACCACTCTACCTTTTGGTGAACTGGCAAGCACCAGCGGCCTAGTACATCCTGGTCTTTCACATTCCAGCACTGCAGTATCACTTGGTGACGTGGCAAGTCCTATAAGTACAGTACAAACTGGTGTAGTGGCGAGCACAAATATTGTCCCGCAACCACCAAGAATTCGCACACAGGCCCATAGAGCCCCTAGTGTCTTTCCGGATGTGCTTGCAAATCCCGATTGGCAGCCCACAAATTCTGCAGCACCCGTAATTCCCCCATTTACTGCTCAACCCGGAATTCAGGTGGAAACAGCAAATTTAACTACTCCCCTTGATTTTTTGTAGTTGTTTTTCACGGAAGATCTGTATGCATTGATTGTGGATCAAAGCAATTTATATGCACAACAATTTATCGCCGCCAACCCAAATTCAATCCTTGCCAGACCATTCGCATGGAAACTCATTATTCCGAATTTAATTTTTTTTTGGGCCTAACCCTCAGCATTACTCAAAAAAACCTGATTCATCATATGCCCGTGTTCTCTGCTGCTGCTATGGGCAGACATAGATATGAGAGTATAATGTGTTTTATGCATTTCAACAACACACCCTGTTGTCCTCGGGGTGACCCTGAATTTGACCGGCTCTACAAAATTTGGCCCCTCATAAATCACCTTAACCAAAAATTTGCAGATGTCTATACTCCCCAGCAAAACATCTGCGTTGATGAGTCCCTCATTAATTTTTCTGGCTGCTTTGAATTCAAACAATTTCTCCCCAGTAAGCGTGCTAGATATGGTGTCAAGATGTATAAGACCTGCAAGAGGGCAGCAGGCTATACATATAAGTTTTGGATTTACGAGGGAAAAAAAGATAGTCACGTGCGCCCCCCCCCCCCCCCTGTACACAGGGAGCAGAGGCAAGATAGTTTGGGACTTGGTGTCATATTTTTCCATATGGGGTACCACTTATACGTGGACAATTTTTATTCAACTGTGCCACTATTTAGACATTTGTACAATCTGGCACCATACACGTGGCACCGTGTGACCTAATGTGTGCCCACGATTAGAAGTGGGTGCACGCAGGGCGGTATATTCTAATGGTGAGCATACCACACACTTTTTCTGATAGAGATTTGTTCTCTTTTTTCACTCAACCCACAGGCTGCATAAAAAAAAGAACATAGCATATATACCCAACAAGGACCAGCAACATACATTTCTGGACTTTGAATGGTTATACCAGGATGATGCCTATGGCTGCAGGTTTTTTTTTTCAGCAGGCAATCAGCTTTCATGTAAAAGCAATCCTAGTGGCTAATTAGCTGCAGGATTGCTTTTACAAGCAGTGGGAGACAATGTGGAAAGACTGCCCCCCTCTCCCGCTGCCTTCCAAGGCCTTCTCGGGCAGTTTTTTCAAAATTTTGAAAAAAAAAAGTTTTTTTCTTAGTTTTTGTTATAAAATTTTGTAAATAAGTGATTTTTCTCCTTCACGGATGTTCTCTAATGAGGCTGCACTGATGGCACTGATAGGCTGCACTAATGGACACTGATAGGTGTCACTGATGGATACTGATGAGGAGGCACTGGCAGGTGGCACTGATGGGCATTGACAGGCAACACTGATGGGCACTGAAAGGCAGCACTCATATATGGCACTGATAGGCGGCACTGATAGGCGGCACTGATAGGCGGAACTGACTGGCACTGTTAGGTGGCACTGATAGGCACCACTGACGGGCACTAATAGGTGGCACTGATGTAAACTGATAGGTGGCACTGACTGGCCTGATAGGTGGCACTGATTGGCAGCACTGATAGGTGGCACTGACTGGCATTGATAAGTGGCACTGACTGGCACTGATGGGTGACACTGAAAGGCAGCTCAGATGGGCACTGATATGTGGCATTGATGTGCACTGGTAGGCACTGAAATGTGGCATTGATGTGGCACTGATGGGCACTGACAGCTGGCACTGATGGACACTGAGAGGTGCACTGCTGGGGCTACACAGATCATCAGGACACACTGATCATCAGTGTCCTGATGATCAGTGTACATGTCCTCTCTGAGGGATGCCGATTACTGGCTCTCCTCTCCTCACGAGCTGTCAGTGTGACAGCTCGTGAGGAGAGAAATGCCAATAACCGGCATTTCCCTATTTACATGTGATCAGCAGTGATTGGACACAGCTGATCACATGACCGAGCCAACATCTTTGGCTCTTTCCGTTGATCGGTGATCCACTGTGTCCGAGGGAGCCGCTACTGGAGCCGCGCATGTGCGGTTAGAATGGGAGGATGTCATATGACGTCCTCCCAGAACGAGAGAACCGCCTTGCATCCATCATTTTACTATATGGCGGGTGGGAGGTGGATAAAAATCCAACTCCCAGTGCAGTGCAATAGAACACTCCAAATAGTGCTGTGATTTACAGAGATATAAATTGCAATTTCTGTAATGTTCTTTGAATAAACACATACTGTAATTGTGTTCAAATTATAAAAATAAAACAACCACAATAATCTACAGTGATGTAAAACCAATCTTCTATATTTCAATTCAGCCATTAATGTCCAAAACAAACTCAAAACACAACATAAAAGTACATATATTATCCCAACATGAGTCCAGTATAGGATGCAACACGTACGGCAGAATTTTGCCTGACCACTTCAGGATTCTGATACGGGGGAAGCCTTTGGAGCCCTACTCACTCTGATGTACTAAATCGGACAAGTGATAACAGACCTCCTAGAATTTAGAGGTCTACATTTAAGGTAAGCAGTTTGGAGTGGCATGAGGTGTATGGGGACGACACATGTGAATATTGGAAACACAAGCACAGTGAAACTTGACAGGATATTATATGGACTTTATGTTGTGTTTGGAGTTTGTACAACGTATGTTTGGACACAAATGGCTGAATTGGATTAAAAATGATTGGTTATACATCACTGTAGATTACTAAAGCTATTGTTATAGTTTTCAATACAATTTGTATTATATATGTATTGAAGTTATGGGAATTGCAATGTATGTGTTCATAGCACTGTTTGGAGAGTATTATTATTATTTTGATTTGATTATTATTTGTGATCTCAAATTTGGTAACATTCTGTCACATCTTGTTTTGAACAAGTCTCTAAATACATTTGCCCTGTTATGATTATCTAATAATGCTGTAATCAAAATTAAACCTTGATTATGTTATGATGCATCCCTGTGTCAACAAACAAAAATGCACAATTACTGAAAATAATTACATATTTTTTTAAACAGACTGGGCACAAAACTGATACTTAAATGTAGATATTTCATTTGAAGCATCATTATTTCCAATTTTACCATAAGGTTAAAAAGGTAATGGAACAAAAATAATAAAAGCTATTGTACCTTCTGCAATTCTTTTTTCTATAAAAGACATGTGAAATGTGCTGGACTGGAAATTAAACTTTGCTCTGTTAAACTCATTCCACTTGGTCTGCCAAAGTTAAAATATCAGAAAGCAACAGAGAGGAAATGGCCAGAAGCTGTAACGCCAATGATATAGCTTATGGATAGTTGCACAGCAAGGGAGAGCCACTCTTTTCTTGAAAATTGGAATTCCACAATATGTAATTTTAATTTGATGTGAAGAAACAATTATGGGTAAAAATATGAATATAAAGCTACAAGCTATTGCAGAAGTATGGATCATATGAGACCAAAAATGACCCATTTACTCCTGGGGCTCTAAATTGCTCTTCAAAGTAATGCCAGCTACTTCTTAGAAGGGATGTAGGGATAACTTCAAAGAGAACTTAGTGTATCCCTTCAAGGCATATGTAAAGAATTTCAACAGCAGACATGGAAAAAGAAAAGGGAAACATAATAATGCTAAAAAGAACAAGAAATGCATGTGTAAAAGAATATCTTTTGCTATTGGTTATGGTTCTGTAATATTAACATTTGGTCAAGCTTTATCTGTCTTATACAGATCTGTGTCTATAGAATTCTTTATTTATGCACATTAAAATCTTCTATATTGGATTCCATAGACACAGGTTCATTCTTCAGACACAAATAAAAAGCCTTGTGTTGACATCCAACACCGAAACAGCTTAAAGGTCATGATGAGTGATCCTAGCAGGGTTGGGTTCATAAAAGGTTTTGCAAATCTAGTGTGAAACCCACAAAACCCCAAACTTAGAGACAACCCCTATTGAAGTCTATAGGAGACTAATCTTGCTATATTTCTCTGTCTATTTTAAGGCTAATAAGAAAACTAAAGGGAATGGGGGTATGTGCTAATAAGAAAGAAAGAAAGAAAGAAAGAAAGAAAGAAAGAAATATATTGTTCAGTGAGTAGAGTTTATTGTGACTTAAAGGATCACATTGAAAACAGACAAATAGTATGCTTGGGGAATGCCTTAAAACTGCATATGGTTTTATGGAACAGTGATATGTAGCACTTTAATAGTGGCATAACACTTTTTTTTAATAGAAAGAAAATAGTAAAAAAAAACTACATGGGAATAACCCTAAAATTGCACCCACTCCCTTATCCAGAACATGCATTCTGGATAACCAAGAAAGATAGGGCAGTGAGTATGCTGCCCACCTCCTGTACAATACCAAGTCACATTAGTAGGGGTGTCTTGAAAGGGGGGATGGGAAAGCCTCCTCAACTTTCAAAGTATCCTTCATTATTTTGGCAGCCTCCGATCCCACAGCTGCCACCACAGTGTGACATATTGCACTCCTAGGATCACCCTGCACAGAGATTAATAATTTTCTTAGGACAACAATCTAAGCACCAGCAGACTAAGAGCTGATGTGACTGGGGCATTTTAACTCCAATGTATACACATAAAGCTACCACCATGTCAGTTCTGACCTTTAAGCCATGTCTTTGACATTGAGAACTTAGTGACATGCCATCTTTATGGTGTTTTATGTAAGTGCAATACTGTTTCCAATAAATGTGAGATGTTTTTACTACACCAGGAGGCAGTTAGTTTTCCTTTTTTGATTTTTATGCCTAAGGATAACAATTAACCATCACTGGTGAAGCAGAGGGGGTTTGGCCTGTACTCTGTCCAGTGAGTCTAGCATATAGCTGATCAAGTTGGATGAATATAGGGATGCACAGCCTAAATGATCTCTTTTGACATCACACGTCTATATTTGACATCATTCCTTTTGGGTACGTGTAAGCGGTTCTGGCAATACTCTTGTGGACTACTTTTTTGGGATGATTATTTCTCTATTGTGTCATTATTTTTATTTAAAATGCTACACCTTTTTTCTTTATATGTATCTAAGATTTGTTGCCTACAAAATTGTGTTAGTTGCTACCAGGGGCTGACTGACAACTCATGGGGCCCCCAGGCAATAGGGGATCATGGGGCCCCTGTGTCCTTGCCCAAACTCAAAAAAGCCTATGAAAAAGGTACCAGGGACATCTCATGGGGCCCTCTACTGACCCCGGGCCCTCGGGCAGTGCCCGAGTTTCCAAATGGTCAGTCCGCCACTGGTTGCTACTGTGGAGTTGTATACCTAAGCACAAATAATTTTCTGTAATATATTATGATATTTGCTTCCACGCTGGACAGGAATGCAACAGAGTTTAAAATATGGTTCATTTTCACAGTAGTCCAATCTAAAAGAGTCATCAATTATCACAAGTTACAGAGAATTATTTCATAATTCTGATGATAATTGATGTCACAGCTGCCAATAGCGGCAGCTTTTTGTTGACCATTGAGCCAACATTAACCTAATCATAAAAGTTGAGGAGTGTGATGTTTGAGCAATTAATTATTGTATTATACTTCAGTGGACACTTACTTAATACCAAATATTTGAATCTCATCTATATTTCTATTTAATAAGATTTTGCAGTCTAAAAACCAACATAATACTGTACATAATTAAATTACAATGTTACAGATACCAAAAATAATAGGAATCTTATATATGTCTTCCTCAGAAAAGGTAATGTGCCCATCAGCTTTCTGCCTCTCTTAATGTGAGTGTTTTTGGTGTCCTGACACCAAAAACACCAACATTAAGAGAGGAAGAAAGCTGATATGCAATATGACTATTGCTTCTAGCTACTGATGTGTAAATCTGCTTGGGTTCCATTGAGGGAGAGTTTAGTGAACACTGGCAAAGGTTCATAAATTGTAAACTTTAATGCAAACCTTTGTTGAAATCAGTAGGAACTGAATCTTGAAAATCTGTTCTCTCCATTTTCATGGTTAAAAGACAAAGGATTGACAAAGGGCAGAGGGAAATAAGTACAGTCAGGAGAAAATATACAGTACCAATGTAAAAAATGCTTAAAAAAATACTGCTGAGGTTGAAAAGGGAGCAGCTCTTTTAATAAACCCAAAAGCAAAGCATTAAAAATGTACAATTCATTTAAATAACAATCTTTTGGAGCCTCAAACCTACCTGTGAAGTGGCGCACCTATACAATGTACAAGCAAAAATTTAATTTAGAAACAAATTAAAAAAATGAATTCAGGTAGCCAAAAAGCTGCATTTGTTCAGCAGATCCATGAATGACAAACAGGCTGAGTTCACCTGAAACAACAACAAATGTTCTTCTCCACTCAAGTGTGGTGTCAATATTGTGGTTAGATAATCTCTACTTTAAGTATCTCAAGTCCATGGACATCCTAGCCATGGCTTCAATCCTCAGACGTCCACTAGGCTTTGCTGCCCTACTCAGACAGGGGTGATCAATAAACACTATGGGGTTTATTTACTAAAGCTGGAGAGTGCAAAATCAGACTCACTTCTGCATAGAAACCAATCAGCTTCCAGGTTTCATTGCCAAAGCTTCATTGAACAAGCTGAGGTTAGAAGCTGATTGGTTTCTATGCAGAAGGGAGTCTGATTTTGGACTTTCCAGCTTTAGTAAATAAACCCCTATATGTCCATAGGACTATAAGTTCATACTTTTTTTATGATGATCCATTAGTGTAAATTTTAACCTATGGTAATGACCTTTGTCTCAACTTCAGCCAAATATATAACAGTATAGGTAATCATGAATGTATGGGAAGTTAGGGAAACACTAGTTTTCCTAGTTGTAGAACATATAATATATGCAAGTATAAATTTAATTATGTGTGCATTTACTTATTTCATTTTTTACATTCCATGAAGCTCAAGTACCAACTATTTTAAACAAAAATAAACTCCACTTGAATAATAAAACATATACAAAACCTGTAGCATTTAACTCAATCTCATA